TAATGACAGTAATGATGGTGTATCTGTACATGATGACCTTATTGTTGATATCATGTTGGTATTGTTGGTGTTGTAGTTTTTGTACTTTGTTGTTATTATTATGAAGTTTCTAAGAGTGATGTGCATATAAAATTTAAACATGACTCTGTGAGCAGGGTATACTGGGATACCTGGAAGGGGGGAGTGGAGGACCTGGTTTCAACATGCATGGAGTATTTACTTGGTTGAGCTTCCAAAAATACTGATTAAGTAGATATTGCATGACATTGAAATATGTGATGTGATTACTCAAAAGGTTGCGCAGTTGCACATACTGATAATGATCATGGACTAATTTCTATAAAAGCAAAATTCAAATCACTTTAATGAAACCTACCTACAGACAGACACAAAATCTTGTATGACAGGGGGATGAAAGCCTTCAAAGTCTTCAAGTATCACAACAAGTGGGGGATTCTCTAAATACAGTATATGAAAGAAGGGCTTCAAAGATAATAATCATGAATAAGAGGTTGATATCCCTCCCTTGTGCTCCAACAATGTTTATAACAGATAGTAATTTCTAAGTGCAAAGAAAGCTCATTTTAGAAAACTTCCAAGAAATACCTGTTGCAGAAGATTTTTTAAGTGTTTCTTTATTCTTTATTAAATTTTTCTTCTCAGATTCCTGAATCTGCAAAAAAATTAAACCCAAACCAAGTGCAAGTCAAAATGGAATTATAAAGAAATGGGGTCATACAATAACAATAGAAAGCAGTGACATTGTGTGGTAATGTACTGTCAGCCCTTTATTCATCTAAGATGTTCGTTGAGTTGTTAGGTCTTGCCTGATCCTGCAGTTTTTTAAATTTTATTCCCTTTCAGATGATTTGGATTCTAAGCACAAAGTGCATTGCTTGTCACAGTTAGAATCTACACTGTACAGGTAATTCACGTAACCATGACCAGGAATTTCAGGAATTCAAATGTAGCTTTCAAATCTTCATGTTTAAATCTCCAATCAACTACTTCGATATTTAAAAAAAATTTTCAGTAATCTGTAAAAGTTAGGTTTTGAAACTGCTATATAATTATGAATATGACTGATTGTAAAATAATTTATAAAAGAATTCACATCCCAACCACATCGCTGAGAATTAGCTTTAAAATCTTTATTTTTAAGTTCAAAGTAATTTGAATTGCTGGAGTTTTGAGCATCATTGGTGTCAAGACTTGGAATTTCTGACAAAGCTGCCAAAAGTGCAATCGAAACATGAGTGATACTGGTCACGTGTGATATGAATTGGCTGTAAAAGTATTTTTTATTATCTCTTGTTGAAATGAAATATTTTCTACCAACAACGATAGAATTTGCTATTTCTATAAGATATTTGGTGAATCTTCTCACATATGAGTTTTATTTTCTTTATTTTCAAGTAAAAGCTATTGTTTATCAAGCTGAAAACAAAATGTGTGCTGATTGGCAAATTTGCTCAGGCTGAGAAAGGCAAAATCACCTGGTTCATAATAAATAAAAAATATTATATGTGACATGGTCACTTTGCATTCATCTTTAGTCATTTTGAAATGTCGATTTCAAGTAGTTTTATGGGAACTGCCGGTTCGTGGCAATTCTAAGTATTTACTACAAAGGATTTAATATATTTTTGTTAGGGAACACATTCAAACGTGAGTGTAATAGTTCTATGGAAAGGGACACTCAAAGTTCAGTATTTTGGACGAGCAATACTATGTGATCTTTTTCCTGAACTAATAATTATTGTTCGTTCAAACCAAGATTTACCTCGCATTAAGGTAATTTCCCTTGTGGGACTACCTTAAACAGTTCTATTATTGCCAATGTTTAGATTATGCTTAACTATTGGAATGCACTAATTTCCGCGGCGTGGATGTTTAGCTTAAACAGTTCTATTATTGCCAATGTTTAGATTATGCTTAACTACTGGAATGCACTAATTTCCGCGGCATGGATGTTTAGCTTTTTTTACAGTTCTCCTAATAGTTTGATCTGATAAGGTAATAGGAGTGATATGAGGTCATATCCTAATTCAATTAGCCCCTATTCAAGTACTCGTAGATATAGCCCCGATATAATACGACAGTTTTGGGACAACTAGAGGAGAGAGAGAGCAGAAGTTCATGCCAGAGCTAGTACAGAACGCAAGTTCAAGCAACTAGAGCTGGGGTTCGCCCCAAGAGCTAGGAGTTAGCCTTGCCATGTCAGTCAATTGCCGAGTCATTCCATTTTAACCCGTTTGTAAGTATATTGTTGACTTAGATTTCGATATTAAGGCTTGTTGCTAAAGATTAGTTTTTCATGACTGGGAAATGTGTTGTGTTCTAAGCGAGTAATTCTACTCCGGTGACAATTTACTAGTTTTGTTTCACGTAGTTCTATTTGTCAATGCGTTTTTATCGTCTTAAGATTTAGTCATTTAGATATCTCTTTCATGATGTATTTTCATTGTTGTTGTATAAGTAACTTTTGTATATTGGTTTCCGTAATAAATTCTTGGTAAGTCCATTCCTTGCATCCAGTATTCGTCCTCACTTTGCCTTATCCTAGACTTCGGTTTATCTTATACATATATACATATACATATTTATATATATACACTTGATTGCAGAAAGGTTGTAGTATACATTTATGCAAATACCTAATTTATTCAGGTATATTTAATGATATGCAAAACAGAAAACTCGCTTTATTTATCATTTGTTTCATTCAATGAACGTCAAAATAGTTTATTCTTGTGTTTTATATCCTACAGATTATAAATCAATTGGTTTTGAGAGTTAAAAATGTAAAATTGCAATATGCATCTCATTAGGTATTTGTATAAATGTATAAATGTATACTACAACGTTTCTGCAATCGAGTGTATATGTATATATACATATACATAATATACATATTTCCAATTTATATCTTTTTTCGAGTGTTGCACTCCAAACGCTTGTTCTAGAGTTTCCTTTTCATTAACCATGGGATTCCACTTGTGTGAGTCTACCACCGGTTACATATAACTTCACTATGAGAAGGCCATCATGTCAGGCATAGGTCTGGTTATGTGAGCTAATTTCTTGGACATTTAGATACAACATGTAGTTCTCTAAATTATCTCACCTTGCATGCTGTTTTGTACCAGTGACACAGCTGGACCATGGTGTAAGAACCTAACCTTGGTTTATGATGTACAGAACCATGTGATTCCTCTTTCTCTTCATCCTAGACAATCAAATACTTTCCAATCTTAAGCCTCTGACATTATTTTTCTTTTGAAAACTTACTTCAGAAAAATAATTGTACCTTTTAAATAGGTATTCATATACATCACTCACCTCTTCATCACTGCTCATAAACTGAAGGACCATATTTTTCATGGTGAATTTCATAGCTGTGGAATAATGTATAATGTATATTAATGTATGTATGCCATTATTGTGCCATATTATAACTCTGAGGCTTTGGAGTATACTACAATGGCACCTGAATAAATCTACTTATTTCCTTTCTGTAACTTAGCCATACATAGAGGATATTACATGGGCGCGCGGAGATACGAAATTTATCTTCGAGTGTTGAAAAGATCTCTCACAAGTGAGCGCAGCGAACGAGTGAGAGATTTTCAACACGAGAAGATAAATTTCGTATCTCCAAGTTCCCATGTAATATTCTGTTTATTATATAACTATCAATGAAGTATGTTTTGGCTTTTTCAGGCAATTCTTTCCGTGTATTTTTGAACAGCCATCGCAATGGTGTTATTTTCACATGTGAAAATAACATGTTATTTTCATGTGTGAAGATATCAATTTTTTGAAATAGAGAAAAATAGATATTTCATTGGTAATTGTATAATAAATTGTGATATCTTATAGCAACATGAAAGAATCTTTGAATGGTAGTATCCATGGATTACAATCAACATTTTAGCATAATTTTAGACTTGAATATAGAGTATTATTATATATTTTATAATATATCGCTATTTTTTCATGAATCACCACTTTTTTGAAGAAAATTAAAGGAGATCATAAAGCTTCAAATGGCAAAGACCAAACCCTGGAATGTGCATTGCAAATTATCATTTTTTGCTTCTTTAATCAAATAGAATCTTAAAATAAATATTGCTATGTACCTCATGTTTTTGAGTAGACTTTGAAGCCAATAAAGGTTAATATAAATACAGGCTATAAGAATATCTATATTGTCAAGTTCAAGAGCTGAGAATAACGAGTGAACTTGCTGATATGGAAAACTTCTAGTCTGTGCAGCCTGACTCTTTGAAAAGGTAAGGGAGACTAAGCCTCTTAACTTGGACGAAGAACAATAAAAAAACTATACGCGTTGCATTTTAAGACTCATGCCGGCAGTGCCTTGGCACGAGTAATAATTACTGCCTAAGCAGTGTCAGATTAAGAGGTTTCCCAAAGTTAACCAGAGCCAAAGTAATACTAAAACATTTACTAAAACGTTTTATCCTGAATTTTGTCTTTTCTTTTACATCCAAGTGTAAAATTATATTAAAACGAATATTCACCTCAGGCTTAGTGAACATGGGTAATATTTACCTTGCCGCTGGAAGACTCGAAGCTTGGTAAATATTCCCCAATGTTCACTTTGCCTTCAGCAAATAAATGTTAAATAATAAATGGTGACATTATTATTGTGAGAGGTACTTACTTGTACAGTCCTTTGATTGTAACACAGCAATGTATGGAGTAATCTTGGATAAATCTTTAGCTAGCTGACTGAAGATGATATCATGATCTGGCATATTAACACCTGGAGATAAAGAAAACAACTTGAATAAACTAATGAATGAGAATAATCAGTGTCAAATGGATGGATAAATACAATAAATCAAAGACATGTAAATACATACGAATTAATTACTGCCATCATATGACAATTGCACATAAGACAGGTAAACAAATTGATGTCAATTAGTATAGGAAATCGCACGATCTCGAGTACAATTTGGAAATTAATAGACACGAGTAATGTTTTGAAAGTTCTTGTAATTGCATGAGCCTTTAGACGAGTACAATTAAAGAACTTTCAAAACATTACGAGTGTCTATTAATTCCAAATTGTATGAGAAGATCGTGCGATTTTTTGTTTATAGTTCACTCAACAAAATTTCAGTAAAAAATGCGAAGCGACACCGTTCATCTTTGTCTATTTGGCGGCCGATTTCCAGTCCATCGCGCAACTGAAATGCATAAAAAAGATTAGTTCTTACGGCTTTAAAATTTTATTTATGCTTTTTGAGTACAAAATGATAGAAAATAATTGTTTTGACATTGTTTTGGTCGTGTTGCCATAGCGACTTAATTCAGTACTCCTACGGAGTACAATTAACGCTATAATTGTACTCCTCTCGACCAATCAGAGTCGAGTAATTTTGTTGAGTGTACTATAAATAAAAAAATACATTGGTGGATCAAAAACTTAATAAATAGGTAAATGTAAAAACTGTCAAATAGTTATCAAATTGAAGTATAAAACTTAATTTTTTCTATTATCATTCTTAAGTAGTAATTATAATAGAATATTTGATAACTTGGAAAAAATCAAATATGCGGAATATATGGAATGACTCTCCCTTCCCTCACGCAAAACAGCCCTTGTAGGTGAGGGAAATGGAATTTATTTTTGCTGCAGAACAAGCAAAGCAAAGCTGATAAATTATGCATATTTATACGTCTTGCTTGCAAGTTCTCTGACCTGTTATGAGAACAGCTGTGGGAATTTCATTGATATAACCATGTTTGTACGTCTTGTTAGACTTCTTGTGTGCAGACTGAACGTACTCAACGATGTGAGAGAAAATCTTGCTGTTTGATTCAAGAGCCTAAAAGAGGTAAGACAAACACAGGTAAACATTCAAAGGGGTATTTAAAGAATACGAGACCAAAACTACTTTAAAAGCCAGGAGAAATGATTTACCTCAATTTTAGTCTTGACTTGCTTCCAGCATTGCTTAAAGTTATCGTATCTTTGGGAAACATTTTCTGTGCTCTCGCCATCATAACGATCAATGAGGTCTACAAGAAAATAGTTTACCAATTTATCATTCTACTTCAAAATTCCTCAAGATCAATAAAAAGAACAGAATTCTAAACCGCCTTTCTGAAAGCTACATCTCAAAGAAATATTCTACGACTTAAGATATACATTTTCAGAAATTTCGAACTTTAATCTCACCTATGGCATTCCCGTATCGTCTTTTTCGAGGAGAGCCCGTGACATTTTTCTTAAATAAAAAGCACCCCTGAAACGAAGAGAACCTATTAAATCCAAGATAAACTAGAGCAATAAAACAGGTCGCAAAATATTGTGTAATTTTAGAGTTTTTTGGGCTTTACTTTTGACACTGAAGATGTTGTCTCTTCCGCCATCTTGGATTCCTTTTCTCTCACGTGGTTTTAGAAATTTCGCGCCATAGTTTTAATACCAGTCCTTTTTCGGGACGCTGCAAACTCTGACCTCTACCCAGGAAGATCTTTAATAGCAACTGCACAACAAGCAAACGAAAAATAATTCCGGTAAAAAAAATTGCAAATCATAGGGAGAATAGTCTATTTTCAAAATGGAAGAAAATAGAAGAAAATAGGAAAGGAAGGAAAGGAATACAAATATAAAACGATGAGGATAGAAGGAATGGATAAAAAGTCACAAAAATTTTTATCACAGTGTCACAGCGGCTTTCTGGGTTGCTTTCACTGCATCGCTTTCTTGGAAAAGAAAAATATTTTACACGTATACTCATACTTAATAGAGGGGGAGCCCTCTCTATGGTATAATAGTTTTTTTGTGTTTTTTTTTTTTTTTTTTTTTTTTTTTTTTTGAGTG